GAACTTTTGTAATGTGTCTCTGTTACTTCTACGGTCAGAAAACAAGATTTCCATTTTATTTTATTTTTTTATTTATTTATTTTTTTTAACGTTTATTTATTTTTGAGACAGAGAGAGACAGAGCATGAACGGGGGAGGGTCAGAGAGAGAGGGAGACACAGAATCTGAAACAGGCTCCAGGCTCTGAGCAGTCAGCACAGAGCCCGACGCGGGGCTCGAACTCACATACCATGAGATCGTGACCTGAGCCGAAGTCGGATGCTTAACCGACTGAGCCACCTAGGCGCCCCAAGATTTCCATTTTAAAACCGATTCTATGAATAGTTGGTATCTAATGATTTACCTTTGGTGACTTTATTGTAGGATTGTATTTATTGTACCTGTACTTATGTCCGTTGCTCGCATTTAAAAACATCACTTATGTGATAGGAATAACAAGGATCAAGATGTCAACTTTTCTGGTTTAAGACTGAGCATCTTTTGTTAGCCGGAAGGCTTGAGCAAATTAACAACAAGGTGACATTTGACAGCTACGTGGGCACCCTGGAGCGTGGCCAGAAGGGCTGGCTCGCATACGCGGAGCCCGGAGCTGCTTTGGGGAACTTGAGAGAACCTCGTGAAGTAGCAAAGACCAAACACTCCACCAACTTTATGACTGAGATGCTTACTCGAGAAACTTCCTGGCGAGGGTTTTGCTGGAGGGTTGGAGAGAGTGACTGATACTTATCAAGAAGAGAGTCCTGGGGGAGTGGCCACTCAGGTCTCTGTGAGTGGGGTAGGGAGTTTGCTGTGAGGAAAAGTCGCTTCGTCTGCACTGAAGTGCAGGTGTAAGGGTGGGAGTGTCTGAGATTGCAGCAAACGGCAGATTTTGGGACGCCGGTTTTTTCATTTTACTGGTCTTAGGAGTAGACCTGTCAGTGAACCAGGACGGGAACCCTTTGCATTCTGGGGAACAGTGGATGAGTTGGGACAAGCGTCTAGCATTTTGGATAAAGTATTACAGTAAAGTAGAATTCCTTCTTTACTCTTTATACCAAACAAAATGCCGGTGGGTCAAGGATTTAAATATAAATCATGAAAGTATAAAGGTGCTGCAAGAAAACGGGTGGAGGTTTTCTGTCCTCTCGGAACCGGGGAAGCCTTCTGTGCGTGTTCAAGCCTCGTGAAAGGAAGAGATTAACGAATCTATCACAAATGCAACATTTCTCTTCTGAAGAGATGCTTTAAAGACAGGTGATAAGCATTTTGCAACTCATATATAGACAAAAAGCTTATTCCCTTCATATGCAAAGGATGCTGGCCTGGCTGGGTTTTGTATGATTTGCAGTCTGTGATGTTTTGGCACATTTCATTTTTTGTGCCTGTGACCCTAAGTGTCTGGTAAGAAGACAGACACCTTTCTTTTTTTTTTAATTTAATTTTTTATTTTTTTAAGTTTACATCCAAATTAGTTAGCATCTAGTGCAACAATGATTTCAGGAGTAGATTCCTTAGTGCCCCTTCCCCATTGAGCCCCTCCCCCCTCCCACAACCCCTCCCGTAACCCTCGGTTTGTTCTCCATATTTATGAGTCTCTTCTGTTTTGTCCCTCTCCCTGTTTTTATATTATTTTTGTTTCCCTTCCCTTATGTTCGTCTGTTTTGTCTCTTAAAGTCCTCATAGGAGTGAAGTCATATGATATTTGTCTTTCTCTGATTGACTCATTTCACTTAGCATAATACCTTCCAGTTCCATCCACATAGTTGCAAATGGAAAGATTTCATTCTTTTTGATTGCCGAGTAATACTCCGTTGTGTATACATACCACATCTTCTTTCTCCGTTCATCCATCGATGGCCATTTGGGCTCTTTCCATCCTTTGGCTGTTATTGATAGTGCTGCTATAAACATTGGGGTGCATGTGTCCCTTCAAAACAGCACCCCTGTATCCCGTGGATAAATGCCTAGTAGTGCGATTGCTGGGTCGTAGGGTAGTTCTGTTTTTAGTTTTTTGAGGAACCTCCATACCGTTTTCCAGAGTGGCTGCACCAGCTTGCATTCCCAGAAGACAGACACCTTTCTAAGTGACACGTAGCAACTCAACTCCTTAGACCCACACTGCCCTGTAGCCGCACTGGCCCTTCGGCCCTGTTGCTTGCAGTGGGAATCTGTCCTCGGTTGTCATGTTGCTGCCTCCTTCCTGGAGTCTCTGCGCGAACGCCTGTCCTCAGAGAGGGTGTGTCCACCCCACGGACACTCCCAGTCACGATCACATTTATGTGTGGTCTCCCTCTTAGCGCAGCTCGGCCTGGTTCTGGGAATTACCACGTCTGTGTGTGTCCCTTCCCTGGGCTGTGAGCTCCTCCAGAGGGGAATTGTTTTTTAAGAGAAGGAATCTACCTGAGCCATCGGCGGGTTTGTCATTGTCCAAAAGGACAGAGGAGAAAAAATAATCCCGACACTCTCCTGACTAACACAGAGACAAGGCGAGCGTTGTACCTTCTGAAAGTACCGATGGCGATTTGAATATTGTTACTGTTACAACTAGTTAGCATAAGAGGCCTTTGGAGGTTGAAGCATACGGGGCCCTGGAGGTGTCCCTGTGACCTCTGGAGTCCAGGTGTCTTCATTTGATTTGCTAACAGGAAACTGAGATAACTACATGCAGAACAAGATTCTGTTCTTGTAAATATTTTAAACCCTGCATTCTTAGCCGCAGAGTTTCTCCAAAAGGTTTTATTGTTTAGAATTCCACCTCCCCTAGGGGGCGCCTGGGTGGCTCAGTCAGTTAAGCATCCGACTCTTGATTTCCTCTCAGGTCATGATCTCAAGGTTTGTGAGTTCAAGCCCTGCGTCAGGCTCTGTGCTGACAGCGTGGAGCCTGCTTGGGATTCTTTCTCCACCCCCCTCTCTCTGCCCCTCCCTGACTCTCTCAGGTGCATGCTCTTACTCTCTGTACATAAATAAACATTAAAAAAAATTTTATAGGGGCGCCTGGGTGGCTCAGTCGGTTGAGCATCACGACTTTGGCTCAGGTCATGATCTCGTGGTTCGTGAGTTCGAGCCCCGCGTCGGGCTCTGTGCTGACAGCTCGGAGCCTGGAGCCTGCTTCGGATTCTGTGTCTCCTTCTCTCTCTGCCCATCCCCCGCTTGTGCTCTGTCTCTCTCTGTCTCTCAAACATAAATAAATAAATGTAAAAAAATTAAAAAAAAAATTCCTGTAATGGTAAAATAGAATAGGGAGCTAAAAAGAAAACCAATAATCGACAAACTTGGGTAACACGTGGTACCGAGCAAGTTGAATGTGTCGTATATTCAAAAGCACATTTAATGAGTATATTTTCTGCATTGATATCAATATGTTTAACTTTCAGGTGGACCAGAACAAGGACCAAGTGTGGAAGGTCTTAACGCACCAACAAAGGCTGCTTTAGGTAATGTGCCTACGACTCCATATTCTGATTCAGACAGTGAGATTCGTTAAGAGAGAAAGATGAATCCTGGCTTTCCATTCTGCCTAGAATGTGTAGAGTAATCTGGCATCATGATTGCTAATCTATTAATAAGATTTTTATCGAGCAAAAATGCCGTTCCCCTTTAGGACCAGCCTGAGGCCCGTGAGTGGCGGCAACCAGTGTGGGGTCCCTGGCTGAGCTGCTGAAACTGTTGATTTGCTCATCTGTGTTGAACTGGGTTATGTTCCCAGCATGAGCAGAGGGCAGAGCGACGTCTCCTAGAGTGTTCTTCTCTTTCTGATTTTACCAGGATCTTTAATTTTTCATCATCAGGGAATTATACTCTGAAAGGAGTGCACATTGCATGGCATTAATTGGAAAGCAAGTACTTTGGTGAAAAAATAGCTGAACTATTAGAAACGTTCCAGATATTTTCATCCCGAGTTAATAGCCTCGTAGGAGGTTGGGAGCAGATTATGTGAGTGCTTTAACATGGATCCAAAAGAAAGTGATGGAAAGAAAAACTTCCATAGATATCTTTTTCATACTTGGCACGTAATGATGTTATTCTCTCGTTAGGGCTAAATTTGAATCTTTAGTTGTGTGTGGTTTTATGCTGTCTTTTCTTATTTTTAAAAATTTTTTTTAATGTTTATTTCTGAGACAGAGACAGAGCCTGAGTGGGGGAGGGGCAGAGAGAGAGGGAGACACAGAATCCGAAGCAGGCTCCAGGCTCTGAGCTGTCAGCACAGAGCCCGACGCGGGGCTTGAACTCACAGACCGCGAGATCATGACCTGAGCCAAAGTTGGTTGCTCAACCGACTGAGCCACCCAGGCGCCCCTATGCTGTCTTTTCTTATTAAAGCACATTCTCATCTTTGTAAGAAAAAAGTTAAAATTTTATTCTTACTGGGTCTCTTAAACATAATTGTAGAAACAGAATGTGTAATCTATGATTGAAGTTTACCCAGAAAACGATTTTTAAGAAACTTTATCTTAAAGCCTCATCTGTTTTTGTGCAATTTAGAAAGCCTTGCTACTCAAAATAATGGAATGCTTTGTAATTCCCATTGATTAATGTGATAAATCTGTATACAAGTCAGGGTGAAAAACCATACCACTGCTTCCGTTGTGTGCATAATGCCTGGCTAACTTTATATCTTAAAATAATTCTAAAAGTTTTTGAAGAGCAGAGCTTAAGAGGAGAGTTAGTTCTAATGTATTTAAGAAATGCTCCGAAGAGAACAATGAATGGGGTGGGGTGGGGTGGGGTGGGGTGGGGTGGGGTGGGGTGGGCAAGGCCAGGCTCTTCATTTCTCTCTAGTGTGGTGTGCACAAAATGTTTTCTGTGAGCTTGGATCCTACGTAGAAGTGCCGAGAAACTCGATTTTAACAAAGCTCTCTTAATCTGCAATACACTCGTGTGCTTGAATGTTCTGGGTGACCAACTAAGGTGGAAAATGTTACAGTCTCTTACATAATATGTACAATATGTTAGAATTAAAAAAAAATACGCTAGAATTAGAAAAATTGCGTATTTCTATTGGTCTGACTCTCTACTTTTTATTTTTTGACAGAGGTGTCCTCTATCATAAAAAAGAAACCAAATCAAGCTAAAAGAGGAGTAAGTATTGCATATAAATATCTGGTAGTTTGGCTTTAAAATAGCCTATGTTCTCAAGAAAGCCACCTTTGTCGTTAAAAAATTTTTTTTAATGTTTATTTATTTTTGAGAAAGAGAGACAGAGCGTCAGTGGGGGAGGGGCAGAGAGAGAGGGAGACACAGAGCTCAAAGCATGCTCCAGGCTCTGAGCTGTCATCACAGAGCCCAACATGGGGCTTGAACCCACGAACCATGAGATCACGACCTGAACTGTAACCGACTGAGCCACCCAGGTGCCCCTGTCACTTTTTTAAAATTTATTTTGAGCCATATTGTAATAATAAATGTGACTTTTTTTTGGAAAAAGAGAGAGAGAGTGCATGCACACGAGCTGGGGAGGGGCAGAGGGAGAGGAAGAGAGAGAATCCCAAGCAGGCTCCATGCCCAGTGCAGAGCCCAACGAGGGGCTCGATCTCAGGACTATGAGATCATGACCTGAGCCAAAGTCAAGAGTCAGACCCTTAACCGGAAGAGCCACCCCAGTGCCCCATAAATGTGGCTTTGATAAAAACCTAGGTTTTGTTCCATGAGGTGAATGTTATACGTAGTGAGGATTTTCTAGAATGAGTGTTCGACAGCATTTCTTTTGCTAATGACAGAATTCTAAAAAATCAGGAGAGGCCCTTGTGGGAGTTCCTGTCGTGTTTGCGTTTCTAATAAGGGATGCTGTCACCAGGGTGTGATTCCTGATGTCTGTCATCTTACTGGCTGTGTGATCTTGTTCAAGTCAGTTAACCTGCACCAGACTTGAGTTCCTCAACTAACCTGGGGATAACAGTAGTGCCAACTTCACAGCGTTGTGAGGACTAAGCGAGAGAACAAATATGAAGTGTGGGTTGCACTGCCTGGCGGGTAATAGACCTCAGGAAGTGTTAGCCGTTAGCTGAAGCTTTCAAACAGCGTGGGTCGAATCTAATCTTCTATATCTTCTAGCTTGGGGCCAAAAAAGGAAGTTTGGGAGCCCAGAAACTGGCAAATACATGCTTTAATGAAATTGAAAAACAAGCCCAAGCTGTAGATAAAATGAAGGAACAGGAAGACCTTCTGGCCAGCGCGGCACCTAAGGAAGAATCAATGTAAGTTTGATTTAGTTATAGTAGCATGTGTTTAGTGAATAAGGCTATTAATCAAACAACTCTTGAGATTTGCTTTCAAAATGCCATTTAATTTTTTTCGGTGCTGGGGAGGGGGGAGTTGCCTGGATTGGTGAAATTGGAATGATAATGTGGGGTACCTTGAAGTCAGGCCAATCGTTTTGATGAAGGGGGTGTATTTTGGAAAGTGAGTTTGGTGATGAGATTAGGAAACTGGAAACCAGGGGCAGAAACTGGAAACCAGGAAGCCAGTCAAGAGAATTGTAAGTAGACATTTCAGGCTCTTGAGAGGTTTTTGTTTGTGTTGGAAACAGAGGAGCAGTGTGGCCGCCTGGAAAGTGCATGTGCTGGGTATAAAAACAATCGTAAGGAGAGAAGAAAGCAGAGTGAGCACAACACCTAAAGGAAAGGCAGCTTGGGTTCCTAGTTCTTATGTGTGCTTATTTTATTTATTATTTTATTTTATTTATTTATTATTATTATTATGGCTTGAGTTACTATGGACGGCATAATGAAGAAAATAATAATGCTTATTTTATGAGGCTTAATGCTTTGAGGGTTAACTTAGTTAACGTTTATTAAAGTGCATCAAACAGTGCCTGGTACAGAGTAAGTGCTCAACCGCCGTGATTTCTTGTTATTCATGCTAGCAGCTTGCTAAGGGATGTTCTAGTTGGTAAATCCAGAGAATTGGAAGTTGTTGTTTCTCATTGTCATTTAACTCCTAGAACATAGGGGGCAGCACTAAACTGTAGTTAGACTAAACGTGGTTTGAAATGCTTTATGTAAAATTTGCTTTGAGCTGTGGTCACAGACTTCACTGTAATTTCTCTAAGCTGGGATCCTGACCCTGAAAATGGGGGGAAGGTCCAACCTGAGGTTTAGACTGCTTCTCTTGGTGTTTGGGAGTGGGCTCTGTGCAGATTGTTCATGCGTGGTTTTCCTGGAGCGTGTACAATCTAGAGCCTGATCAGAACAGAAGACACGGAACACGAAGCACCTGCTCCCTCCCTGCAGGGGGGGGTGGATGGAGATTAGCGTATTGTTCGAGGCAACACCAGCCCTAACTCGAATCTTTCACTAGGACGGTTCAGTACAGCGTATACGCAAAGATGCGGGCCATGGGTGTTTATGAATTTGATTTGGGACCTGCTTTGACAGCCTTCCTGGCCGTGTTCAGGACAGCCGCGCCACTGTGCCCAAGACACTGTCCTCCCTCTCAGACCCGTCGCAGCCCCATCCCGCCAAGCCAGGGCTGCGCCAGCTCCGGGAAAGCACACGTGTCTTATCCTAAAGACGCAACAGCGTTATTTTTCTGCAAGTTAATTTTTTAACGGCTGTAAATAGAGTTATTTTCAGTTGAGTAAACTGTCAAGGAACGGCTTTTTTCTCTGTCTTCAGCCTGTGAAACCCTAGCTGTCTGTCCTGGTCCTCACCTGCTGGCGGTTCCTGGGCCCGCCCTCAGAGGAGCCTGCGCACAGTGGGTGGGAAGGTGAGGGAGAGGAGAGCCGCCCCGGAGCCCCTTCCCTTGCTTGGCCTGAGCGGCTCGGGAGCCTCCCCTGAGCAGGGCCTGGGAAACACGGAGCCCTGACTCCTTCGTCCTGTGGGCGTTGCCATCCCCGCGCTACGGGAAGCCCAGGTCGGAGAGCAGGTGCTGCTGGTGGCGGTAGCCTCAGTCCCAGCCAGATGCTGAGAAGGAAAGCTCTCCCGTCTCACATCTTCCCAGTGGAACGTTTTCTTCCCGGCCGTTCATCTTCTCCAGAAGAATCTGCCGCTCCAGTTTTATCTGTTCGTGGTTTTCGGGAGATCTGTGGTCTTCCTCCAAAAAGTTGACGCAAGAGTATCATTTATTTTCTGAGTGATAAAACTGGGGACGTGGTCAGACCCGGCTCTGTAGGAATAATGGTAAAGAAAACAAAACTACCAGATTAAAACAAAACAAATCCTGACTAAGGAAGGAAACAGCAGCAGTGTTATTTTTTTTTTTTTCTGTTTTCTGTTTACTCTTTTTTTTCTAGTAAGAAATTTAGTTGTCATTCCCTGTTACTACAGGAAAATGTATTTATATTATTATGGAATTTACACGGTGCCTTTCTTATGAGAAATTCATGAGATTTTGCACAATTTTATGAAACAGATAATAGTTTAGAATTCCTGATAACATGGGTATATCACCTTTCAGGGCCCCCAAGTTTGGTTGCTGTCTTACTAGTATAAAATACTCTTGTTATTGCATAGTTTTCTTTATGAAAAATTAAGTATTTGTAACGTTTTTAGGAATCTGAGAGCAAGGGACAGTGTTGGATACCTCTTTTTACCCCTTTGGTACATCATTTGTAACAGGTATTTGATAAACAGATGATTAGTGTCTGACTAGTAGCACAGAAGGAAGGTTGGCTAAGAAATGAGTGCTCTTGGAAGCCTGATTCTGTAGCAGTCCTCTGAAGAATCTTTTGCAATTAAGTAACTCCGTCTTAATTTATATATTTGGTTTTTTAAAACGCTTATTTATATTTGAGAGAGAGAGAGAGAGAGAAAGAGAGCTCAAGCAGGGGAGGGGCAGAGAAAGAGGGAGACAGAATCTGAAGCAGGCTCCAGCCTCCGAGCTGTCAGCACAGAGCCCGACGCGGGGCTCAAACCCACGGACCGTGAGATCGTGACCTGAGCTGAAATCAGACACTTAAACCGACTGAGCCACCCAGGTGCCCCTTAATTTAACTACTTGTAAAGTCAAATATATGTGCAAACCAATGCAACTAACCTCATACTTTTGCTATGTAATGCAAAAAGTATAAATATTAGCTCAAGTAAGAAATTCTGCTTTTTACTGTCCTACGTAGACTTAATCTTAGCATGTATTACGTTATTATGCGGCAGGTAGTATATGGTGATGTGATGATTAATATATGATGATAGGTGATATGAACTAGAACAGTAAGGTAGGGTCAGCAGCAACCAAAAAGCAGGTGTAAACTCATTCAAATTTTCTTGAACGTCTACTCAAAAAAGACCTTTAGGGGAAAAAAAAAGCCAACTCGCCTTCATAGTTGTTAATTATGGAAAGAAGCACGAAGCTCAAATTATCAGTGACGTGTTTAATTTCACTTAGTGTTTTAACTTGAGAACACAGAATTAAAGCTAAATTAAGGAGCCTTTGGTTTTCTGGCAGCGTTTCATCACTGCGATTAGCCTATAAGGATCTTGAGATTCAAATGAAGAAGGACGAGAAGATGAACATGAGTGGCAAAAAAAAGATAGAGTCAGAGAGACTCGGCATGGGGCTCGGAAACTGCAGGAGGTACGTGGCTTCCAGAATTTAAACGTTGCTAATCGTGCATGGATTTTCCTTATTGGCGTCAACTGGGAAAGTTTTTTCTCATGATTCCTTCCTTTCTTCAATTGTTTTACTCCTCTCTAGTATTCAACCTAGCATGAAAAGTTCCAAAGTGAGTCAAAGCAAAAAGGAAATAGGCCTGACTCATTGTTAAGCAGATGCTGCAGACAGAACTAATATGTGTGACTGCATCTTGTGTAATTAGTTCCAGTCCTCACAAAGGCCCAGTATTTTTCGATGCTTATGCCAAAAACTATATATGCCGTTTTTATTGCTCATGTTTTTAACCCCACTAACGTTTTTGTTGAAAGTATAAAACGTTTATTCTTTGGTGAGCACAAGTGTCTTCCTGAACTGATATAATTCCTCTCCATTTTATTCTCTGTTTTCTCCAGTGGTATTTCACATTCCGTGACTTCAGATATGCAGATCATTGAGCAGGAGACGCCGATCATAGCAAAATCAAGAAAGAAGTACAGTGATGACAGTGGTGACCCATATTTTACTTCCAGCTCAAGGTAACCTGCCCCAAATCAGCCTTAAAGCGTTGTTTTAGAAAGTGGTCATTAATGTGGACCTACTCGCTTATTTGCATTAAGAGCAAATACAAATCAGTTTACTTCGTTGCTTTTACAAGCTTTGGCTGGAGTCAAGGGTGTCCTTTGGAAAATTATTGGGGAAAGATTCATAAGTGGACAATGCCTGCGAGATGTTTATAATAAAATCAGTGACCAAGAGTTGAAAATAGAGTAGGAACTTGCAGGGCGCCTGGTGGCTTAGTTGGTTGAGCATCTGGTTCTTGACTTTGGCTCAGGTCACGACCTGAATTCAAGCCCTGTGTCGGTTAGCACGGAGCCCGCCCGGGATTGTCTGTCTCCTTCTCCCATTTGCCCTTCCCCTGCTTGCGTGTGCTCTCTCTTTCTCTCTCTCTCTCAAAAATAAATAAACTTAAAAAAAATAAGAAGTAGGAATTGTGGGGCGCCTGGGTGGCGCAGTCGGTTAAGCGTCCGACTTCAGCCAGGTCACGATCTCGCAGTCCGTGAGTTCGAGCCCCGCGTCAGGCTCTGGGCTGATGGCTCAGAGCCTGGAGCCTGTTTCCGATTCTGTGTCTCCCTCTCTCTCTGCCCCTCCCCCGTTCATGCTCTGTCTCTCTCTGTCCCCAAAATAAATAAAAACGTTGAAAAAAAAAATTAAAAAAAAAAAAAAAGAAGTAGGAATTGTGTTTATCTAAGTGTGAAATTGGAGAACAAGGCAAGAGCCCAAAGGTCCGTATCCTTTAGTTTCAGAACAAATAGCAAACACTATTTGTGTGTGTGTTATCAATTCATGGAAAACACTAGTACACTCTGAAGGCTCTCAGGGTCAGCTAGGTGCCGGTCCTTCAGCCTCCACCATCAGATTGGGACCAGTTGCCTAACTTCGGTGTGAAGGCAACTGTGGCAAGTACCACGGTTCAGGTCCAGGGGCCTGAAGGGCAGGGAGAACAAGTTGAGACTTGAACTGACTCACCGTGTGAGGTTCTTCCAAGAACCTGACCCGTACAGGAGAGTCCTGCTAAAAAGGCACCATGTAAACCTGGGCTGTGAACTGGAGGTGAGCACCAGCTGAGAACACAGGGGTGAGAGTGTAGACCCCGGTTCAGACGGTCTGGATTTGAGTCCTGGCTGGGCCACTTAGTGACTGTGTGACCTTGGCCAAGTCGCTCAACCTCTCTGTGCTGCAGCTTCCGCCTCTGTAAGTTAGAGATGCTGGGGTCTGCCTCAGTGTGTTGTGCGATGGTAAATGAGTTGATGCAAATGGAGCACTTAGAATAGCGCTTGACTATTTGCGTGATGTTTAGCTGCGTTTATGACATAGGCGCTCAGTTCAAGAGACGTGACTCAGTCTAAATGTGTAATTACTGTGGTTAGATTCTTAACTACGCCGAGGGCCACCTTCACGTTTGGAGCTCGGGAAAATCGAGTGTGTGTCCATCAGTCATGGGCGGTGCGTTGAAGGAGGCGCCATGGCTCACGTCTGGAAGGCCATTACTGTCGTCTGGCGGTTACTTACGCAGGCTTGAAGCGGTTTCGTATCTCCATGGGCTATATGTTTCATATACATACGAGATACACACACATGTTAACTATTAACTGGAAGCTGATTGTGTCACACATCCTCCCAAAGTTCATAGCTTAGTACTCTGCCTAAAAAATTCTCCTCACACTGCTTCCCATTCTGTCAAGTCCGGATATTTTACCAAAAAAAGTTACTAGGTTAGTGGTGTTCCCTGTCAGTTACAGGGATGGTTTTGCACCTGTTGTGAGTCACTTGTATAACACACCAGGTGTGGTTTACACAGAGGCAACCCCCCAATCGTGCCTTTCAAAAGTATTTAGGGGCGCCCGGATGGCTCAGTCGGGTGAATGTTCGACTTTGGCTCAGGTTGGGATCTCGCGGTTTGCGGGTTCAAGCCCCGCATCGGGCTCTGCGCTGTCGGCACAGAGCCTGCTTGGGATTCTCGCTCTCTCCTCTCTCTGACCCTCCTCCACTTGTGCTTTCTCTCTTTCTCTCTCAAAATAAATTAATAAACTAAAAAAAAAAACACACATAAAAATATCTACATAGGGGCGCCTGGGTGGCTCAGTCGGTGAAGCATCCGACTTCGGCTCAGGTCACGATCTCGCGGTCCGTGAGTTCGAGCCCCGCATCGCGCTCTGGGCTGATGGCTCAGAGCCTGGAGCCTGCTTCCGGTTCTGTGTCTCCCTCTCTCTCTGCCCCTCCCCCGTTCATGCTCTGTCTCAAAAGTAAATAAATGTTAAAAAAATTTTTTTTTAAATTTACATATATTTTCTACAGGATAAAATTAAATTTCTAACTTGATTTAAAAGCTGCATGCATGTGAGATCATTTCTGATTTGCTCTTTATTTTTTTCATTAATTTCTTTAATGCTTGTTTATTTTTGAGAGAGAAGAGAGTGAGAGACAGAGCGTGAGCAAGGAAGGGAGGGCAGAGAGAGGGAGGCACAGAATCCGAAGCAGGCTCCAGGCTCTGAGCCGTCAGCACAGAGCCCGATGCGGGGCTCAAACTCACAGACTGGGAGAGCGTGACCTGAGCTGAAATTGGACACTAACTGAGCCACCCAGGTGCCCCATGAGTGCCTTTTCTAGCCTCCTTGGTTGTGACCACTGCTGGTAGAGAACAAGGGAGCTGTTAGTACTCTGGAGACTGACGGATCGTAAACACAGCCTCCAGGAGAGCCAGCCTATTAGCTCCGTGAGCAGCCTGCACTGCTTCCGAATTATTCATTAGCCCTTTAGAACTTGAACATTATAAATTATGAAATAGTGCTGTTTCTATGAAAAATAAAATCCACTATATCTGGGATTTTTCAAATTGAATTCCATTATATTCAGGATATAAACAGTGTAATTATATACAGAGTACAAAATAATGAAACCAGAGTGATTTGCTCAGCCTTATATAAGCAGTCAGCGTGGCCTTCACTGGGTAGACGGTTGTCTACAGCTGTAAATCAGATATGCACTGTTGGGGTACCAAGGGATTGCAAGGAATGTCCTCAGGGTTGGATGAAGACAGAGTGAGAGCAAAAATACAAGTGAAGAGCATTGAGAACCAGGATCTAGAAACCAGAACATTAGAAAGTCAGTAAAGGGACGCCTGGGTGGCTCAGTTGGTTAAGCCTCCCGACTTCAGCTCAGGTCACGATCTCACGGTTTATGAGTTCGAGCCCCGTGTCAGGCTCTGCGATGACAGCTCGGAGCCTGGAGCCTGCTTCAGATTCTGTGTCTCCCTTTCTCTGCCCCTCCCCAACTTGCGCTCTCTCTCTGTCTCTCAAAAATAAGCATTAAAAAAAAAAAAGTCAGGAAAAATGTGGAAATCAAGACTGCTGTGTTTCTAAGGTCAGGCAAGTGCCCCACAGCCATCAGGCATCAGTTAGCCCATCCTTCCAACCGATGGGACAGCTGTCTGCACCCCCAGGGCTGCTGCTCACCTCCCACATCTGTCAGAGCACAGAGAGCCCACCCCCCACGCCCACCTGCCCCACACTTAGAATGCTGCCCAGTGCTCCTGCTGACCAGTAGGATCCGAGCAGCATGGCTTTCTTTCTCCTGATTTTTGTTTTTTTGTTTTTTAATTTTTTTTAATTTTTTTTTTTTTTAATTTATTTTTGAGACAGAGAGAGACAGAGCATGAGCAGGGGAGGAACAGAGAGAGAGGGAGACACAGAATCTGAAGCAGGCTCCAGGCTCTGAGCTGTCAGCACAGAGCCCGACGCGGGGCTCGAACTCACAGACCGCGAGATCATGACCTGAGCCAAAGTCGGACGCGCAACCGACTGAGTCACCCAGGCGCCCATCTCGCTCCTGATTTTTGAATAATCCAGTCATTGAAAAAATCCGACACGCTTATATTCCAAGATGAGCACTTGGACTTATAAGAATGAAGAATATTTCCTTGGAGTGACACTAAATCTGCAAAATCCTAAGTCCCAGCAGCTCAGAGTTGCGAAGAGCCTGGAAGTTCCAACCACCCCCTGCCCGGTCCTTCCCACCCTCATGCCCCCAGCATCCTCTTGGTGAGCATCCTCCAGGGGACCATGCTGCCCCTCTCCCCACCCCACTCCTCTTCCTTCTCCTCCTCCAGGCAGCCATTCTGTCCTGGGGCAGCTCTGTGAGGAATGATGCCTTTACCTATGTACCTTGCTGGGTTTCTGAGCTCGGATCAGCCAGGCCCGTGAGAGCAGGGGCTGGATGTGTCTCCTTGCCCTGTGTCCCCATCTAGCAGAGCACCGGCTCCTCCTCGTAGATGCTTGCTAAGTCGTTTCTCAATTCCTCATCGACTTGGTCTTAACTCTCTCGCTTGGACCTTTACAAATAAATCTCTTGAATGATTGAAGATCACTTTCAGGCCAGTGTGCCTCCCACATCGGGCAAGCCCCCTTTCTCTGAGCCACTTAAAAGTCTGCTTGTCCAGGTCTCTCCTCCACAGGGACCGCTTGTCCCTGCTCCTCCAGGCAGAGCCGGGGCTCGGGCCCACCTGCCCATCAGCCACCAAGAAAGCCTGGCCTGTTTTTCGCTGAAACACGGATCTACTCTGAACCTGTGTCTTCCTTACATGGAAGAGAAGGCTAGCGGAAGGAGATTTGTTCTTCGGGACCGCCTCGCCAGAGAAGGCAGAGCCCCTTCTGGAAATTCTGCTTTCTCTCTATTATCCACGTAAAGCCACACCATCTCCTTCAAATAGCAGGTTTATCCCTTTCGCCTTTTTTTTTTTAACCCAGAAAAAGTATGTTTGTTCTTAGCATTTCCAACCCCCCAACTCTTAGCTCATAGGGGCCCTTGGCCTATTTTTTCCTACAGGTTCTTGCTGCCCTCTTCTATTCATCTTTGGTTACAGGCCCCTCTGACTGCCCAGGCCCTCCGTCTTTGTGCGACTTCTTGTGACACCCGAGCTCGGTGTTCACCATGTATCCCATGCGCGTCTTTTCTTACTCTGCAGAAAGCCAGGTGACATTTTTGAAAGGAAGCCTCTACATTATCTTCCATCATCCTTCCTTTCTCGAGACCTAAGCCTTGGAATCTGCCTCTGCTGAACTTCTTTAACTCCACATTTAAGGAGTGGGGGGCGCCTGGGTGGCTCAATCTGTTAAGCATCTGATTCTTGATTTTGGCTCAGGTCATGATCTCACCATTTGTTAGATCGAGCCCTATGTGGGCCCTCTGTGCTGCCAGCACAGAGCCTGCTTGGGATTCTCTCTCTCCCCCAACTCTCTCTCTTTCAAAATAAATAAATAAACGTTAAAAATATAAATAAATAGGGGCGCCTGGGTGGCGCAGTCGGTTAAGCGTCCGACTTCAGCCAGGTCACGATCTTGCGGTCCGTGAGTTCGAGCCCCGCATCGGGCTCTGGGCTGATGGCTCAGAGCCTGGAGCCTGTTTCCGATTCTGTGTCTCCCTCTCTCTCTGCCCCTCCCCTGTTCATGCTCTGTCTCTCTCTGTCCCAAAAATAAATAAACATTGAAAAAAAAAAATTAAAAAAAAAAAATATAAATAAATAAAAGGAGTGTGTATCTGGCAGGGCTCTTTTCCATCCTAAGCTGTTGTGAATTCTGACGAAGCACGGTCACTTCTTAAGGCTCTGGCACATCCACCTCGCCTCTGGGTCTCTGTCCTGTTCCAGGCAAACCCTGCTGCTCGTGGTCAGAGATTTTTCTGTCACCGCGCAGGACAGGAAGCTGCCGTGGAGCTTTGCTCTCTGAGCAAGGCCCGGCTCAGGGGTACTCGGCTGGTGAAAGAGTAAACCCACCTACAGGCTTACAGATCAAGTTCACGTCAAGCCCCAGGCTGGAAAAGCAGCCGCACACTGGTCCAGCCATTAGCCATCCATAGCTTTGTAGCTGACTCCGCCAAGAGGCTAATTAGCACCATTTACATTAAGTGGTCAGGGCTGTCGCCAGGCTTACCTGGCAGGGACTGCCAACAGCGAGCTCCTCGAGTGGGGTTTTTGTTGCGACTACCTGATTAGGCAGAACTGGACCCAGAGAAAGCAAAATACGTAACCTGTGGTGAGTAAAGACGCTCAAAGGCATCGTGTGCTATCCGGATGGGCTAGGTTATACTGCACTGACAAGTATCCACCCCCCCGCCCCGGCCCCCAACCCCGTCTTAAAAGCTTAACACAACAACGGTTTATTTCTTGTTCAGCTGAGGGTACAGGTGATTGTCCAGATTACCTGTCCTTTGGGTAACGCCTTGATCTTCCAGATGGATGGAAGCTTCTCCTGCCTGAGGCTGGAGCGCCTGGAAAACCACCTTATCTTTCATGTGGCACAGGAAGAAGGGACTGGGCGAGTTGAGCACAGGCACTTTAAAGGCCTTGGAAATGACTCTCCTCACACCTGCTTCTGTTTCATTCGGCAGCTCTCGTCACATGGCCACTCCAACTGCAAGGCCCAGGAAGTGTAGCCGCCGTGCACCCCATGTGAGCGGACATCAGTAAGGTCTCCCAAGTCACCATGTCCCTCTTTTTCATACAGGTACTTTGACGAGCCGATGGAGTTAAGGAGCAGTTCTTTTTCTAGCTGGGATGACAGTTCAGATTCCTATTGGAAAAAAGAGACCATCAAAGATACGGACACTATCCTGAAACCCACGGGCTATTCAGACAGGTATGAACAGAGAACAGTAGGATTGTAAATATTGAGGCCATGGGTCTCCAGGGAAATTCTCTAAGACTAGCGAATGATTTTATTCTACTGTTTCAAGAATATTCTTTGCATCCTGGTCTGTTTTCTGACCTTACAATCTTGCCTTTCCCAGAACGTCCTATAAATGGAATCATATGGCAACTGGCCTTTTTAGACCGGCTTCTTTGACTTTTCGTAGTGCATGTGAGACGCTTGTCATGATGTTCCTTCCTCTTCGTTGTTGAGTTGTTTGTCCGTTCACCTGTCGAACAACTACCTCCAGTTGTTGATTATGAATGAAAGACTTTACAATCTCCTGTCCAAACCGGACAAAAGTGCAGGGAGACCTAGTAATACGTTGGGACAACAGGCACAGCCTGGGATTATGCTGGGTGACTGCAGTCTGTGGCCAGCTTAGTCATTTTGTATCCTGCGTGATGCAGAACGGTGTCTTCCGTGCATTGCAAACAGTGCCCTCAGTATTCACCCACTTACCTCCACAGGGAGCTGAAGATCAAAATGCTGGGTCTGTTTAAATAGGAAAATTCCTTCAAATGTCGGGTGCTTTGGATATTTACTCATGTTTTTTTTAGAATTTTCAGGCTTTTTTAAATGGCCTGAAATCCTTTTACAAAATTACTACTGTCAGCTTTTTAAAAAGTAAAATGGCATTAGTATACATTATAAATGAGAAGTGCATTTGTCTCACCTCAAATTAGTTTAACCTATTTGGGCTGGGTTTTTTTTTTGTTTGTTTGTTTTCATTTTGTGTGCTGGCAACACTTAAGATCTGTACTCCTAGCGAATTTCACGTATATAACAGGGTATTACTTTCTCTGGTCACTCTGCCTACTTTACATCCCCAGAACTTACTCATCTTGTAAATAGAAGTTTGTACCCTCTGAACATCTGCCCATTTCCCCTACCTTGAAGGCTGTGGGAAAGAAACACCATTCTACACACTATGAGTTTCACTTTTTTTTTTTTTTTTTAATTTTAGATTCCACCTATAGGAACAAAATCGTGCAGTATTTTTCTTCTTTGTCTGGTTTATTTCACTTGGCATGATGTCCTCCAAGTTCATCCGTGTTGTCACAAATGGCAGGATTTCCTTTTTTTAGTGGCTGAATAATGTTCCACTGTATATATATTTTCTTTATCCATTCATCCATCAACAGACATGTATCTTGGCTATTGTGAATAATGCTGCGGTGAACATGGCAGAGATTTCTTCGAGATACTGATTTGTTTGTGTCAGATACAAATCCAGAAGTGGGATTGCTGATCAAATAGTAGTTCTATTTTTTATTTTTATTTTTTTAAATTTTTTAATGTTTATTTTTGAGAGAGAGAGAGAGAGAGAGAGAGAGACAGAGCGGGGGAAGGGCAGACAGAGAGGGAGACACAGAATCCGAAGCAGGCTCCGGGCTTTGAGCTGTCAGCACAGAGTTCGATGTGGGGCTTGAACTCACGAACCGCGAGATCATGACCTGAGCCGAAATCAGACACTTAACCGACTGAGCCACCCAGGCGCCCCTCTGTTCTTAATTTTTTGAGGGACCGACCTCCATAGTGTTCTCTGTATGGCTCTGCTAATTTGCGTTCTCACCAACAGCATACAGGGGTTCCCTTTTCCCCAGTTCTCCTCCATACTTCTCTCTTTTGGCACTTGCCATCCAAACAGGTGTGAGGTGACATCTCATTGTGGTTTTGACTTGCATTTCCCTGATGATGAGTGATGTGGAGCATCTTTTCAGATACCTGGTGGCCATGAACTTCCTTTTTAGAACTGCTTTTGCTGTGTTTCATGAGTTTGGGTGTGTTGTGTTTCCATTTTCATTTGTTTCAAGATATTTTTTTATTTCCCTTTTGATCTCTTCATTGACCCACTGGTTGTTCGGGAATGTGTTGTTTAATTTCCATATATTTGTGAACTTTCCAGTTTTCCTCTCCAATCACTGATTTCTACTTGCAACCATTATGGTTGGAAAGGACACTTTATATGATTTCAACCTTCTTAAACCTAACGTATGATTCAAATTTATTTTGTGACCTAACATATATTTGTCCTGGAGAATGTTCTATGCGTGCTTGAGAATGTGTGTTCTACTGCTATTGGATGGAGTGTCTTGAATGTGTCTGTTTGTCCATTTGGTCTAAAATGCTGTTGAAGTCCAGTTTTTCTTGATTTTCTTTCAGGATGATCTGTCCATTATTGAAAGTGGGATACTGAAGTCTCCTATGTGATTACCGTACTATTTCTCCCTTCTGATCTGTAAATATTTATATCATATATTTAGGTGCTCCAATGTTGGGTGCATATATATTTATAATTGATCATATATGTGTGTGTGTGTGTGTACACACACACACACACATATACACACACACACACACACATTTATATAGTTATATAATGACCTTTGTTCCTTGTTACAGTTTTTGGCTTAAAGTGCACTTCATCTGGGGCGCCTGGGTGGCGCAGTCGGTTAAGCGTCCGACTTCAGCCAGGTCACGATCTCGCGGTCCGCGAGTTCGAGCCCCGCGTCGGGCTCTGGGCTGATGGCTCGGAGCCTGGAGCCTGCTTCCGATTCTGTGTCTCCCTCTCTCTCTGCCCCTCCCCCGTTCATGCTCTGTCTCTCTCTGTCCCAAAAATAAACATTAAA